CTTGTCACAGCAGAAGTGACGGTAATTGGCACGTGCTTTTCATGGATCAACAGTGCGTCACCATACTGAATTTACGGTGTTGTTAAAAACTCAGTCTTGATTGATGCATTTATTACGCAAGTGAGCATATATACAGGAGCTCAATTGAAGACAGTTGGTTAGAGGACATGTACCTTTTGACAGAATAGAGATACTGGTGCGGGGGGGGGTGGTAAGAAAGTAGCATGACTACAATACGGACTAGGACAAAATTGAGACAAGACAATCATCGACCCAGCAATTATTGTGGCATTGTGAGAATGTTCAGCTAGTGTCAATACAGTGTTATTAACGTTGAAGGTCCTAGTCCAGCTTGGCATGAATATCTTTTCAGTGCTATGGCGCAATGAAACCTTCTTAAATTGTAATTTTGAATATTTCTAGTAACATCATGGGCAAAACCCAATAAGGTAGCAGTGCGCAAACTGGGGACGCGCTTCCCCCCCCCCGGGTGGGGCGCGAAGGGTACTGCGAGGAGGGGGGGGGGGGGACGAACTTTTGCCTTTGAATTACCTTTTTTCTCGGAATTAAGGAGTTTAGGGTTCAAAATAAAATGTTAAAAGGAAGGAAATAAAGAAAAGCACTACAAACAGGATATTCTGAATCCTGAAATAGTCTTTGTTTCGTGGTATTGCCTTATTCTCAATAGTAGTGATTTTAATGAAGTTAACGATATACTACTAAAACCATATTATCGTGTTTCCTTTCTCAAGCCAACATACCCGAAATTACGGTCTTAAATTACTTTTATTTTAATTACGAAATTACGGTCTTAAATTAAATCTTACGGTCCGAAATTACGGTTTCTGATGAAATGGAACTATTGGAGAGGGGAAGGATGAGGGGTAGGGGGGCGCGACCTGAAATCCGCTGCAATAGGGGATATATTATACTTCTTTTTTTTTTTTTCAAGGAACGACCGAGACTCTGTCCGGTGTTACTAACTAACGTTTATTGATAGCTTCCGCTTCGATGTTCAGCGATGTCATTATCAGGGATTCTATGAACATGTCATGAGAGGAAAACTGTGATGTGGCCTCTTCTGACCGGCGCATACTTCAATTGAACTGTACCTCGTATTGTGTGGGCTTAGCGGCGGACCTCACCAAGGAGTGGAGGAGGAACCACCCCCTACCGGACACCTCCCACCTCCAAGAGACCTCCCCGGACCAGGACAAGGGGGTGGAGGCGAGGCTAGATGGTGGACTAGAGACAGAGTGGATGTGATCGTGTGACATTGTATAACGGTGTGTATTGTATGTCTGGATTCGGACACCTCCCACCTCCAAGAGACCTCCCCCGGACCGGGACAAGGGGGTGGAGGCGAGGCTAGATGGTGGACTAGAGACAGAGTGGATGTGATCGTGTGACATTGTATGACGGTGTGTATTGTATGTCTGGATTGTATAGGGACCTGTAAATTATTCCCGTCACCCTCGACTTATCGCCCTCGTCGTCGTCCCTCCTGCCTGGTGCCTGTAGACTGTACGAGTGAATTGTATACATTCAATATATCCGTTGTTATTGTTGCTGAACATCCTAGACCTTCTGAATCTCACCGGTACTTATCTAATTGGAGTCAGTCCGTATATAATAGCGCCCGCTTACGTACACGGAGAACACGCGATCCCATTCGGCGGCCTCGCCCACAATTGATTGCCGTGAAATGTTGAATCACAACAGCACTGATATGGAATGTGTCTGTGCTTACGGGGGAATGTTCAACCAATCTTGAACTTCGATCTTCACCTCAGTGTTCCAATGAGCGGCATTACAATGTTGGTCAGACGGTTCAGATGTAACTGAGTGTTGGGAAAGTTCTAAAATAACATTCATGTAGTATTCGTAGAATGTTATTGCAGTGCTGGACAAACGTTCAGCCAGTGTTGAACTTCAACGTTCATCCGAGTATTACGATGAATGACATTAAGATATTAACTTGATCTTGGATGCAACGCCACAAGATCACTGGGAAGGTTCGAAATTACCGTTCATACAACGCTGTTTACAACGGATGACCTGTTTGCGGTGACTATAAATCCTATGTGCATAGCATAGAACAGAGATGTCGCCTTAGTGTTAGTTACTCTCAGCCTCAAATCTGTTAAATGCTTTTTCCCTGAGTAGTTTCATACAGAAGACAGGTAACGCCTTTCGGTACTGTAAAAGTAGAAGACACACTGGGGAAAGGAAAACGTTTTGGGTACCCAGTCAAATCCATTGAACAATATCTCATTGAACAATATCAATAACTCATGTCTCGCATTGTCTTGTTGGAAGATCCAGTTTGTTTTCGCCTCCGATCCGCTCCCCAAACGCTTCCAACTGAGGTCCTACGAGTTCCTGGTACTTATTCGAGTTGTTGCGACCGTTGATGATCACGAGATCAGTCTTCCCGCCGTATTCGAAGGCTCTCCAAACCATCAGAGACCCGCCGCCGGAGACTCACTGAGAGTAGAACTGAGAGCAGTAGGACCTCAGTTGGAAGCGTTTGGGGAGCGGATCGGAGGCGAAAGCTGGATCTTCCAACAAGACAATGCGAGGTTCCATGTCTCAAAGTCCAGCCGGAGCTTCTTTTCAGAAAAAGGAGTGACCCTTCTTGAATGGCCCACTCTTCGCCCCGATTTGAGCCCCATGGAGAATCCTTGGGGAGACCTTGTCCGCTCCGTTTATGCGAACGACTGCCAGTTCGCAACTGTCACCGAACTCCGTGACGCGGTTTTCGAGGCCTGGGAGGAAGTGAGCACCGATCGTCTCAAGACCCTCATCGGATCCATGAGAGACCGTGTGTAAGATCTCATCTCGAAAGGAGGGGGCAGAACGAAGTATTAGTCACATTTCTGGGGCAGCAGCAGGCCGTGATATATTGAGACACTTTCTGAGGTGTCATTTTCATGTATTTCCGGTTCCGGTTGAGCGATACAGTCCAAGCATTGTACAATCCTTAGGTGTAGTCTGTATATGCTTTGTTTCAAATGTGAACCGAATTGCTTAAGGATTAAAGGAATTACAGCCAAAACCCTATGCGTGATAATAATTTGAGACATTTTATAACGTAGGAAAGTGTGGGCAGAGCGTTGGACCCAGGTCTGCATCAAATTTTGGTCCAATACCCAGCAAACAATTTGAAGCACATAACGTTGAATCAACATTGAATAAACGTTCGGAACGTTGATACAGCAATGGTCCAACGTAACCTTGTTTGCTGGGTACTGACCCGTCAGTATATTTACGTTGGGCCAATGTTGGCGGGCAACGTTGTCCCTTCATACGTGGTGTTCCAGATTGGTATACCACCTTGGACCAACTAGGCCCATCACATTTCCACTATCCGGGAAGGGTGACTATGTTGAAAAGCCACAATGAAACTGTTGTTGCTACTAATGCTATAGCTATATGCGCCATACTTTAACACTGTCGCTACCCACGAAATCGAGAGTGATCCACTTCGAATGTAGAGTGATGTATATGTTCTTTGTCATAACATCAAGAGGAAATGCCTGTACATCGTGACCTCGCAAATGAAGGGGGGGGGGGGGAGAGAATTTTATCTGAAACTCGTGCGAATATATCTGCTTGCCGCGATGAAGGAAATACGTAAATGGCATTCATATCCACTCTCCATGCTATAAAAGTTCATTTTTCTTTCGAAGCAACTCAATGATATTTTACCTCATGATTCAGAGAGTTGATGTACACCTGTATATGCACCCATAGAGACAGGACCACGATTGTATTTAATAAATGAGTCCCGGAGGGAAAATCTGGTCTTTCTCATGGATGTAAGCAAACCGGTCACGGAGGATCGCACAGTTTCCTCTGTGGGCATAATGGGCTAATGCCTTCCATGCAAATGATAAGGAGTAATGATACCCCTGAAGAGGGCGTGTTTACACTGTGCATGCTTCCCGCTTACTCAACATAAGCGTCTGAAAGTAAAAATCACAATGGAATTTGAATCCAAATCTAGAAAAGAAAATGCTTCCAAACGCTTCATACTGGAGCTCGATACTGAGAGATTCGGCAAATGGGAATCCTTTTTTTTTCAATTGATAACGGAGCCGATGTCCAGTTTCTCACAGAAGTAGATATAAAACTATGTTTAGAATCCTGCGCGGATAGACAGTGAGATAGAAAGAAGTCGTCTTGCATTAGAGAGAAGCATGAAGTCATCGCTTGTCTTCGTAATTCCATCTATTTTCTACTCCTGCTTCGTGAAAGGTATACCTTTTTTTTTTTAGTTTTCTCGAATCGCATCGTCGTTCTGCGGATCCAGTAGGAACGAACTGCGATCTGACAGGTGGGGATGTGGGCTGCAGAGAAAGCCAAGATCCCAACGGTTCCGGTTCTTTCGGCCAATGTGTCAGATTGGGATGCTGCGAGGATTCCTTTCAGGTGACGGATCCAAGCCTCTGCGATCAGGTGCCGTATGAGACCTGCTGCTACTCTCAGAACACTTGTGCTGGTAAGCGAATTCCTCTTTCCCTTTTCCTTCCCACGCTTCCTATGCGAAACTTGAAGGAAGTACCTGCATCTCTTCACCTGTTTGGTTGCATTTTTCACAAATTCTTGGGGCGCCGAGCCAGAAGAAAACTGCAGGGAAGTATCAAGCTTTCCTTTACAGGCAAAACCTGTCAATTAAATAAGCCCTGTCTCTGGCCTACATTTGAAAATGGAAATCTGGTTCTTGTCCTTTGACACCTTCCCCCATTTTCCATCAGTTTTACCATCCGGCTCTGCACGGTGAAAGCTTACAGCCGTGTCGAACGCGAAGTATCCCCGAAGGATTCCGACTTTCTTTTGTTCTGGGTGCCATTAGTGGTCGATTAATGATCTCGTCTTGACACCCCCTTCCCTATGTTAGGGGCATTATTACAAAGATGAAGCAGGTCACAGCCGTCTGTATTCATTTCCTCCTCCTATGAGCCTAGACGCACAAACTCACTCTTTCATCCCCTCTGATGAATCCTCGAGGCTCCTTTTCAAGTAGCTGGGCGTCATTGCATGCAGATGACGTGTGCTTCGAGGAATGGAGCATCTGGGCGGCGCAATACAAGCACACGACGACTCCAGAACAGATGGAGGAGATGTTCGCCGCGATCGCCGAGCAAGGAATCACGAGAGTGAACGTGAACGTGTTCACAAACGGAATCTTGTATGCAGAATCCCCCGTCGCCAGGATTTACAACGTCACCATCGGGGACGATCGGTTGTCGTGGGCCGTGGAGTCCGCCCGGAGACATGGACTCACCCTTTACGCGTGGATGGAATATGGGCAAGGCGTGGAACACGGCTCTGTCCCGACCAATCCCTTCGCACTCTCAGCCGACGCGAACGATTGGCTTCTTTACAACATTCGAGACGGAGAGAAGGTTTGCATTCCTGTTTTGTCGGCAGCAAATTTCAGTTTTATTTTGATTAAACTACCGACAGTGCATGCAATGAAACGGTTGACGATTGTTCCACGTACGAGACATATTCTATAGGCAAAATGATGGCCATTCTCAGAAAATGGCGATGCCGGCTTGTTGGAAAAAGTAACTGGGGATTTCGTGGTCTTTAATTTATTGGTTAGTTCGATACGTTACTCCAAGTATCTTTAAATCAACTTAGTTTCGTAACGTAGTGAGTTGTGCATGAAAAAAACTGGCAATATGTTTTTGATAATAACGAATGTATATTTAACCAGAAAGGCCCAATTTTAAAACATGGAATATGGATAGATAATGGAGGGGTTGGTCAAATTTGAAAGATACCCATGTCTACGGTCACAGCTCTGTTGAAAACGACCCTGGCATTCTCTGATGCATGTAGCCGCTGTCTCCATTCATGATGCTCTGCTTTAAGGCAGTGATGCACAACCCGCGGCCCGGGGAGACCTTTTTTGCTGCCCCTTGGATGCCTCCAGTCTCTAGAGATCCAAATATTTAAACGCGGGCCTATTTCGGCTCAAACCCACGAATATGAGCCGAAGTCTCAATTTGGCCCTCTTGGGGGAAAAGGTTGTGGACCACTGCTTTAAGGGATCCCAATCTTGTGGTAACCTCGTTTTTATTTTATTTAGCATTTCTGTCATTCTTGATTCGGTGGACTGTCGAAAGGGATATACCAATATCTCAAGATTTCTTCCTTTGCGTTCAGTGGCTCCATGGATTATCCGCCTGGCTTAAAACAAGTTCTTCCACCTCTTGAACAGCTGATGGCACCGACTGAGACGGAAGCATCAGCAGAGTTTTCCCGTGCATTTCGTATCCTTCAAGTTTGAACCGGCGTAGCACGTGATACAGAGTCCATTTCCTTCAAATTCTACACAGACATTCTTATATATATTCACATTCGGAGTTTAAAAAATTGGGCCGATCTAATCAAATTTGCCACCAATGTTATTGAAAAAAAAAAATATTTGGCACAATTATTTTTAAATTTAAACCCCGTGTAGTTACAATCCAGCACTGCTTTTCTTCTTCAGACCCACCAACAATAGTGCGCTGTCAGGGAGCTTGAGAAGTGACCATTTCAAATCGTTGTCGGCGAATATTCACAGGATGACCATCCTGATAAGATTCAACAAGTCCAATTTATTTGTATTTCTTGGTGCAGACTAGAATAATCGAGATATGCTCCCTTCCGTTCTTGAAGGTACTAGTATAGGTGTACGTGAATAGTCGTCTGACATTTTCTACGAGGAAAAGCGATAAACTTGCGTAGCCGATGTGAACTTCGCAGGTGTACTTGTCCGAGGAGATTCCTCACGGTATCATCTACATGGACCCGACATTGGGGGAAGTGGGAGACTTTCTGGCAGCCCTGTCCGGTGATCTGAGCGAGCGATACGACGTCGCTGGGATCCAGTTGGACGATCATTTTGGAGCCTTTGCCGGCTATGACAAGCTGGATGCCATGAGTCCCGAATACAAATATTCCCTCATGAAATCTGTGGCAGAGAAAATCCGAAACTCGGTGCACTCAAATGGAAAATTATTTTCTTACTCTCCTCCGAGACTGGGATGGTGTAAACCTTACCTGTTTGTCGATTGGGCAAAATGGTACTTCCAAGGTGTTGTCGATGACCTCGTTCCCCAATATTACAGGTCAGCCCTAAAATGCACTCCTTTAAATGCAAAATAGGCGTATAATGTTGGAATTCCCTAGCGATCTTCCGCTGAAGTCAACGTGGAAACAACAGCTCTATTTTTGGAAGAATCCAAAATTTTCTTTTCCTCTGCAGACATCAATGGGAATACACTACACTGCCAAAAGTATTGGAGCAAAGGTCGATATGACTAGCCTCTATCATTCCATGTTCAAACTCGGTCAGCTCTAATCCACGCGCCATACTGGCAAACACTGACTGGAACATATTGCAAACAACCGTTATATACGAGGGGTGATCGGAAAAAAACTTAACAACCAGCGTCCAAAGTGTTTGTATATATTGCAACCAAACGATACATGTGCTGCATAGAGTACTCACGGGGGTCTACTTTTCCACATAATCCTATTGGACGGTGAGCATTTGTTCCACCGAGGTATACGATTTTCATTGGCGCCAGCGTATAATTTCATGTCTTGTGCAGACGGTCATTTTTGAACCTCTTTCACCACCTCAACATCCGACCAAAAATGACAGCCACCGAGATGCTTTTTCATGAACGGAAGCAGATGGAAATTGCAGATGGCAGATTGGTTGAAGATCAGAGCTGAAGGGTGGGCGCTGAGGACCTCCCCCCCCCCCTCATATTCTGCAGCCGCCGCGCCACGTGGGGACGAGCGTTACCACGGAACAGAAACCCCCGTTGTGTTAGACATCCTGACCTTCTTCGCAGGATTGCTTCAAGCTGGTGTTGCAGAGTTGCATAGCACCCATCATCTTAATCAGTCTTCCGGAATTAGTCAGTCAATACGAATTGCGTTGTCTTTTGTTGACGAATCGCAAGGCTTGCCATTGCTCTCTTTGTTCTTGTCGACTGTCGACACTCGTTCACCCACTAATTGTCTGTACCATGCGGCTACCAGTTGTCCGGTTGACATACCATCCCCATACACCTCCAACAGCAGGCGATGAATTTCAGCTGCGGAGGTGTGCTGGGCCCACACAAAAATGGAAGGTACCTCGAATCTTAACGCGGGACCAATTTTGAAGGCACATCGCCATTTCACGAATGCACTGCTCACCTGACATGAGAGGTACAAGTGACACCTCGCGCATTTTTGCTAAGTGTGACACCCCTAATATCACTAATTGCACGCCTATGCTGCCCACCTCGTGGTTCTTCAGTAATAGACCTTGTAAACATTTTTTCCGATCAACCCTCGTACTTTTGGACCACAGTAATGCTATCTACCACATGACCTCTGGGACTCTCTGTTATCGGCGGAGGAAGGCTTGCCCCTATACTTTTGGCAATATAGTGTATTCCTATGAGCTTTGAACGTTGCTTGTTTTTTTATTTATTAAATATTTTACTTCCAACAATGTATCTAATTACAGAATACGTAGTCTGATCAAAAGTTCCAGGACTGAATTTTTTATTACCCGCTCCCGCATAGTCGCGCCACTGTCGCATTCCAAGTAGATTTACCATCTCACTGCCCACTCGTCAGCGCGATGCCGTTCGCAGGAAGAGAACTGCGAAGTTGGAGGCAATGTCGCGAGTCTGCAGCATGGCAATGCCCCGGTCCACCACGCCTTCACCTCGCAGGAATTTCTGGCCCAGCACGCAATCCCTGTGCCTCAGCATCCATCCTACTCGCTGGACTTGGCTTCCTGAGATTTCTTCTTGTTCTCTAAGCTAAAGAGTGAGCTGAAAGGAAGATTTCAGGACATTCAAAGCATCATAACGCACGCGACGCGAGCGCTGCTAACGATTCCAAAAGACAAATACCAGCGATGCTTCCAGCAGCTGCAGAAATGCTGGAACAATTGTGTAAATGCCGAAGAGGACCATTTCGAAGGAGATAGCCATTAGTAGTCGGTTAGAGTCGCCACAGAGCATTAAAAAAAACCAGTCCGGAACTATTTTGATCAGACTTCGTAAAATGCAATCACGAAACCCGCGAGTAGGCTTATCTGTTGTGTTTTCCACGATAGACGGGATGCTGAGCTTGTTCGCCAAGACCTGGAAGAAGATTTGCCCGAAGTGGATAGCTGGGAAATGGGTTTGTTGGCAGGACTTCGTCTTACGGGATCCTGCTGCCCTGAAGACACGGATCCCGAGGAAATTGCTTCCATGATACAAATTGCCCATGACTTCGGTCTCAAAGGGGTCTCGTTCTGGTTTGTGGATGCCATAATGGACGGAGGCTTCACCTCCTTCCTCAGGCGGTGCTGATCTCTCATGCATGTTCAGCATTAAAATCTTCCTCCTTGTGGTCCCATGAAATGCAGTGGAAATTGCTCGTTTTCGGATTGAATCTTTCTTTTTGTTGTGAAAGTCGCTCTCATCTTGCAGATGTGGGTATTGAAGATTCAGACTTGAAGCCGGCAAGAAATAGGTAAAAAGATGCATTCAGAAATTGAGGTTATATAGTAGGAATGGCCAAACTTCTTGACCTTGCGGTCCGCATAACATAATCTTCATATGGCCGAGAGCCACAAGACACACGACTTTACACATGCAGTCTCTATATTCTAGAGAATGCATGTGTGGACTCTCGAGCAGTGGTTCTCAACCGCTTGGGTTGAAACTCAACCCAAGTGGGAGACTGTTCAACAGCTCTTCTTCGAACGGTCTTCCAGGTGGGTCAAGAGAGAATGAAATGAATTAAAAGTAAAAGATAGAGAGATATTAGAGAAGACAGATCAATCATTATCGCCAAACCGAACTACAGGACAGTATTACTAGAGCTTTACTTTCCAGGAACGTATAATCTACTAATCCAAATTCGAAGGCAGCACAGGAAGAAGGCTAGCTGACAACAACAATTCCAAGAAAGAGTAAACAGCTTTAAAATATCGTTTAAATCATTCTTGCTCTTAATCTTCATCTCCAGTCAACTGACAATGAGTCAGTTCCTCGGTGCTGTAATTAGGGAGAGCGCTGTTTTTCTTTGTGAGCAGAAGCCGAAGTTAATTTTTTCGGTTTATTTTCTCTGTTACTTGAAGTGATATATTTAATTCTATCCATTTTTTTTTTTTGGGGGGGGGGGGGGGGGGGGGGGGGGGGGGGGGGG